CTCCAAAATATTTAAATACTTCTTCTTGTTCCACAATCCAATGGGTTTCTTGTACCCAGGCCCAACATTGCTTTGATTGCTAACCTCCCCAAGTTCCTCCCCATAAGATTTAGTTAGGAAGGGTTTATGTCAGAAAGAATCATCAGCGTAGTGTTGAAGCCACCAGAGCATCTTGTGAACTTCCTGACCTCGGCAGACAATATGATTCCTTTATGTAGCTGTTCCAAAGAAAGCCATTAGAATTAATGAAATAATCTTGGATAAAGGCCGATGTCAGAGGTCATCCAGAGTTTACAGACACCTTTGCCTGACATTCCTATCGTGCTAGGCAGCTTGAGAATTCTTTACATATTTACTCTGAGCTGGCTAATGTTAAAACCAAGGGAATGCCCCCAAGCTTCTAGAGGCCAAAGATTCTTGTGTCGGTTCCAACTTCAGCTAAAATCTTTGGGCTTAAAAACACAAGCTCCTTGTGATTCATGAATGGTCATGTGGATGAATTACAGTCATGTGGATGAATTACCCATATTTCTATATAATACTTGTCTTCTTTCTTTCTTTCTTTCTTTCTTAAGAAAAGAAAGAAAGAAAGAAGAAAAGAAAGAAAGAAAGAAGAAAAGAAAGAAAGAAAGAAGAAAAGAAAGAAAGAAAGTTCTTTCTTTCTTTCTTTCTTTCTTTCTTTCTTTCTTTCTTTCTTTCTTTCTTTCCATGCAGTGCCTCAGTTGTATAATTCTTGGAAACATGAAGTACAAAGTAACTTTAGAGTTTGAGATATGAATAACTTGATATGTAGGGTGGGGAAAGAAAGAACAATATTTTTGTTTAGTGAATGACTCCTTGATTGTGCTGACAAACTCAAAAGTAGAATGGTCCTTATAGGGCTTTTTCATTTCTTTGGCTTCCCCTGTTTGGTTCTTGTTCCCTAAAGTAAAGTCAGGGGACAGAGGACAGGCTGTTTCAGGGGAAGGCCTGAATGTGTTAAACCGGTGGCATGTTCCAGCCCTCTGCGCTTAAGCCCACACCCTGGTCAGTGGACCTACAGAGGCCTGGACTTTCGACTGCTGCTGATGAATGCCAGGTCGGTCAATAATAAGGCCCCCCTCATACATGACCTTATTGGGGAGGAGCAGGGTGACCTGGCATGCATTACTGAGACCTGGCTGACACCACAAGGGGGTGTTGCCCTTTCGGAAATGTGTCCAGCTGGGTTTAGGGTTTGGCACCTGCCAAGACCCCAGGATAGAGGAGGGGGTGTGGCAGTGGTCATCCAGGAATCTCTGCTGGCCTTTAGTGGCTCTGCTCCACAAGTTGCTAGATGTGAGACCCTGTTCCTGAGGATGGGCTCGTGGGATCAGTTGGGAGTTTTGCTTCTGTACCAGCTTCCCTGCTGCGTAGCAACCTCCTTGCCAGAACTGCTGGAGGCCATCTTGGGGTTGGCAAGGCTTATGGTCTTGGGGGACTTTAATCTGCCATCTCTGGGCTTGGCCCCAGAGGCGGCTCAGGAATTCATGGCTACCATGGTGGCCATGGTCCTATCCCAGGTCATCCATGGCCCAACTCAGGACAGTGGTCACACTCCAGATATGGTTTTCTTGTTGGAGCAGTGGCAGTGTGATCTGGTAGGGGATTTGGCCTTGTCCCCTTTGTCATGGTCAGACCACTCCCTGGTGGCCCTGAGATTCTCCTATGCTGCCTGCTTCTGCAGGAAGGTGGGACCTATTCAAATGGTCCATCCTCAGCGACTGACGGACCTCCAAAGGTTCCAAAGGGAGCTGGGGGTTGTTCCTGAGGCCTTGCTGCACGGTCCATTGGAGGTCCTGGCTGCAGCCTGGAAGGAGGAGGCAGCCGGGACCTTGGACAGGATCACATCTGTGTGTCCTCTCTTGGCCCATTGCCCCTGGCACTCACCGTGGTTTATGGAGGAGTTAAGGGTGCTGAAAAGAGCCAAGAGACATCTAGAGCACCACTGGCAGAAAGCTAAGGACGAGTCTGACTGAACATGGATTAGAGCCGCTATTAAGGCCTACCTCATGGCAGTAAGGGCGGCAAAACATCATTATTTCTCAGCTCTTATTGCATCCATAGAGTATCCCCCGGTGGCCCTATTTAGGGCCACCCAGTCCCTTCTGGGTAGAGAGGGCTCAGAGGACCACCTACAGGGCCGTGCAGAGGAATTTGCAGAACACCTGATGGATATCGCTTGGATCCATTCCCAGTTGGACCCCAAGCATGATGCAGGTCCAGTGGAGATGCCTGGGGAACGGACTTGCCCAATTATCTGGGAATGGTTTGATCCTGTTGGACATGAGGAAGTGGACAGGGTCCTCAGAGCTGTTAGTGCGGCTACCTGTATTTTAGATTTTTGTCCCTCCTGGTTGGTTAAAGCCATCAGGGATGTGACATTGGGGTGGGTACTGCCGGTGGTCAATTCATCCTTGCAAGAGGGGATGTTCCTGAAGCCTTTTAAGGAGACCCTGGTCCACACCCTCCTCAAGAAACTGTTGCTAGATCCCACCCTTCTGGAAAATTTTCATCCGGTTTCCCACCTTCCTTTTTTAGGAAAGGTGGTGGAAAAGGTGGTTGTGTGACAGCTTCAGAGGATCCTGGAGGAAACAGATTATCTGGAGCCCTATCAGTCAGGATTCAGGCCCAGTTATGGGACAGAAACAACATTGGTTGCACTTTTAGATGACCTCTGGCGAGAGCGGGATAGGGGTAGCATGTCCATCCTTTCTTTTCTTGACCTCTTGGCAGCTTTCAGTACTATCGACCATGGTATCCTTTCAGGTCAGCTGCAGGAGTTGGGGCTGGGAGGCACAGTTCTGTGCTGGTTCAGCTCCTTTCTCCAAGACCGATCCCAATTGGTGTTGATAGGGGACAAGAGGTCCAACCCGCGGCCCCTACTCTGTGGGGTGCCTCAGGGTTTGGTGCCCTCGCCACTCCTGTTTAACATCTACATGAAACCGTTGGGTGAGATCATCCGGCACCATGGGATGAGGTATCATCAGTATGCTGATGATACTCAATTATATAGCTCCATCCCAGGTGACCTTATGGCTACCCTTTCATGGTGCCTGGAGGCTGTAGAGGCCTGGACGGGGGACAACAGGCTTCAACTGAACCCTGGTAAGATGGAGTGGCTGTGGGTACAGGGAGCCTCAAGATCTAGGAGTTTATCATCTTTGGTTCTTGATGGGGTTGCATTACCCGGTGCATAATCTGGGGGTCCTCCTAGACTCACGACTCTTGTTTGAAGAGCAGGTGGCAGTCGTGGCTAGGAGGGCCTTTGCCCAATTTTGTGTTGTGCGCCAGTTATGCCCCTTCCTGGATCGGGAGCCGTCCACATGGCTCCCCGATCATGCCCTGGTCACCTCCCGGTTGGATTACTGCAATGTGCTCTACATGGGGCTACCCTTGAAGAGTATTTGGAAGCTACAGCTGGCACAAAATGCAGCAGCACGGACAGTTTTGAATGCCCCCAGGGGGGCACAAATAACACTTCTGTTATGCGAGCTGCATTGGTTGCCAGTTTGCTTCCAGGTCCAATTCAAGTGTTAGTTATTACCTTTAAAGCCTTCCATGGCACAAGACAAGGTTATCTGAGGAGCCATCTCACCCCCATTATATCAGCCCGCCCCACTTGATCCTGCAGAAGGGCCATCTTGTGGACCACAACAGTCAAGGAATTTTGACTGGCAGTGTCTAGGAAGAGGGCCTTTTCTGCCGTGGCCCCCACTCTGTGGAACCTGAGGTGTGGTGTGCCCCCACTCTCATGGCCTTCAGGAAGAGTGTGAAATCTTGGTTATGCCAGATGGCCTGGAGGTCTGATGGGGGCTCGCATTGTTGGAATTGGCTCGTGGGGTGATTGATTCTACCCCCCCCATCATCTTGAATTTTATACACTTTCTATGTATATAGTCTTTTTACCTAGTATGATCTTTTTTAACTAATTTAATGTGGATTTTTTTTTTTACTGTTTTTGATGTTTGATTTTAATTGTGAGCCACCCAGTCACCCTCTGGGGGAGATGGGTGGCATATAAATATAAATATAATAGTAATAGTAATAGTAATAGTAATAGTAATAGTAATA